AAGGCTTCGCAGATGGAAATTTTATCCATCCCATTTTTTCTGTTAATTGGTGTGACACCCAAACATCGAGCTTCTTTCTGAATCCAGCTTTGTGTAAATGGTTTAAACCAGTTTTATGATCGATCCTGGGTGATGTTACGACTGCTAACATGCCGATCAACTTCGATCACTTCTCCGATTTTATCGACATTTTCGACGACCGGCCTAATGGATTTCTTTTTCTCCAACCTAATATTAAGGTCTGCTAGTTAATCGGATACACCATTCGTTTCATATGAAATTTAAAGTCTCCAAAAAGGTTCCTAGCTTCGGTTGTAATCTTAAGTGGTGGACCGATGACGCCTTCTTCAGATTTAATCTAGATTTTGTAAAAATATTACTATGTGTCAAGTCTGCATGAAATATTTACACTTTGTGGGGAGTTACTAGAAGCAGTGGACCGATAAGCAGGCTTGATTATAATATTAGGATCCGCTAGCTTTCGTTCAAAAAAAAAATTTTTAATTTTAATACCAAAATAAATTTTCTAAAACTGATTCGGTCCAAAGAAATTTGGGGTCTACAGCCTATGCATATTTTTTGTAGCAAAGTGTAGTATTAGCCATTAGGATGATGATATATAATAAATATATTTGCATATAATTTTCAATATAGGTCCATATTTTGACATGGCTTCCTTATACAGGTCCTGCCCTATGCTAGGTATTTTTAACAGTCCTAAACACAATTTTAAACCGAATTCGCAGAAATGTATCAATGTAGGTTCATTTATTATATTGGAAGGTCCATGTCAAATTTTCCAACTTTTCTAAGTGGGATAAAAATCCTCTGGCTAGTCAATTACCGCGTAGGCATATATTCAGTAGATATTTTAGTCAGATGAAATGTAAATGATATGTTGGTTTCACAAAGGTCTTTTCATTATAGTCCATTCGACGTCGCCCTTATCTCTAGTGGTTTTTATTAACACTGTTTTCATATTTTTATTATTATATATTTTTAATCTTAATATATTCTAGAAAATTTATAATAATATATATTATTTGCGATTATTTTTCTCGAGAAATCTTATTTTTATTTTGACCGCCAAATTGTAAACAAATTTATTATTTTCATGTTCGAACAAAATTCCTATAATATTACAAAATAGTTTCTATGTTTGGCCAAATTAAACTAAGAATTAGCGAACACAAATGCCGCACAATCATTATTTTGCTTTAGTTGGGTGAGTGACAATCATCGAATGTGAATTGAATTTCAATTTTGTTGTCATTTACACCACCAACGAAAGCAAAAACATCAACAAATATGACTTCCCTGTACTTGATGATTTACAGAATTGTTAATAATTAATGTCTGTCACTGGCGGTGCCTAAGGTTGTCGTAGGTCTGTAGGTGCTACCAAAATTACGCTTATCGAATATGCAAATCACGTCTTCCGAATGCAAGGCTATCACAATGGTTTTGTTTAATGCGAAAATATTATAAACAAAGAACTACCAATTGGCGCTTCAATGATTTAAGCCAAAAAATTCTTGGTCACTTGTAGTGACCCTGTTTTGTTTGATTTGTATAATTGAATTTTTATTTTCTATGTTTGGTGAGTAATAATTTGTGTGTTTAATAATCGATTATATGTATTAACATCAATTATATGACGGTTGGATCAGATATGTAATAGAACTTAAATTCTCTATTTTACGAGTCTGAGTAACCTAATTTAATAAAGTGTAACATTTGTCACATTATAGTACGTTTACATTTAACCGGATTTCGTTAACCCAGTGCGTTTCAATTGTCATTTCCTTTAGGATTAAGGTTAACCCGGTAAAAAGTTCTAATGTACAAGGATCGATTAGGATTTTTTTCCGTAGGCTACTGGTTTTTAATCTTGATGCATATTTCACAAAATAATTATTTATTTGGAGTTTTTTATAATCCTCAACTATTAATATTTGGTAATTACAGATACTTTTTTGTCCACAAGACAATTCATGATGCACGACAATTGAAATTGAATAATGATACCAAACCAAATTAGACAAACTTTTATATAGAAATTCCAAATTACTTTCATACCCTCCAAATGAGAAGCCAAACTAACCCAAAATTTCGGATGGTACCGTTTGTCCTGTTTTTCATTAGGCAATTTAATTGCTCAAATCTGTAGTTTTTGGGTGGAGAGTTGAGGGGAATGGAAACCCTTCACCACATTCACCTACAAACCGAGAATTGCCGCAATGCGTAGAGATGGTATTTACCGGGTAAATACCTAGGGGGTGGGTATTTATTTTTAAGCGTAATAGACTATAAGCGAAAAGTACTGTATACTATAAGCGAAAAGTACTGTATAGCGAAAAGTACAGTATACTTTAATAGACTATAAGCGAAAAGTACTGTATACTTTTCGCTTATAGTCTATTACGCTTAAAGGCTAAAAACGGATGTAAGCGAAAACATAACTATTTACTGACAAGTTTTTTCCGATTTCATACAAATTATTTGTTCTTAAGTCCACTTTCGTTTAAAGACCACATTTTCTGTGCATGCAAAACTAATAATATAATATATGCGGACAACTGAGCGCCGGACACAAAATGGACAAATCAACAGTTTATAAAATTATAAAAAATAGTTCCAAAATTAAAAAAAAGAAAAAATTCAAATTCGTGTTATCTGAAGACATTGCGTCAAAGAAAAGAAGATCAGCCTGATATTGAAAACGTGCTTCTTATAAGGTTTAATGAAATGCGTGGACAGTATACAGTGGTGACTGACCTTTTGAAGAATGTCATAATAATTATCATGATGAAGAATGCGCTTTATATATATATATATATATATTAGGGCGGGCCAATTTGTATGGAAAATCGAAAAATTCGATTAAACCAAGCCCCAAGGATGATAATATGGGTAATTCTAAGCATCTTTGGTGAAGAACCCATAGGCCTATCTCGATAACCGAGTCTCCCACTTTTCAAAAAAAAAAAAATTAAAAAATTTTCCTATAACATCATTTTGATTCAAAATTCGATTTTCTTGATCAATTTTGCCGAAAAATATTTAATTTTCTCAGAAAAGAGACGAAAAATAGTTCAAATATGTATGAAACGTCCTCTAGCGGTGGTCATAGGTAAAATTCCTCTTATTTGCTCTTAGAGGTTTGCCTTGGAGTAAAGTTGTAGCACTCCTCCCTTATGAAAATCGTTTAAATCTTATTAATCTTCCAACATTAGAACGAAGACGTTTAATGCTAAGATCTATATTTTTAATAAAACTTTTACGCGGTCTAATTGACTCGAAATTTTTAATCGGTGAAATCAAGTTTAATGTACCTGCACGTCTTACTCGTAATTATATACCGCTTTATCTTCTTTTAGCGAGATCTAATTATGAGTTATGTAATCTCTTTAGATCACTATGTGAAATATATAACAACCTGTATAATCGCATATCTTTATCTGATCCAATATATGTAATAAAAAATTCTATTCTACGTTTAGAACTGTAAAGTGCAAGCAGTTACCAGATGTTTATGTTTGTCCTTATTGTTGTGTTGAATTAACTTTAAGTTGTATAACCGGCTGATGATTACTGTAGCCGGGGATTCCCAACATTACTAACCCTCCATAATCCGGATTATGGGGTGTACGTTCTCCCTACGTTATGGGGAGAAGGCCCCCTCGGTCGGCAGGGGTGGGTAAGAGTGGCGTGGGAACGAATTGTAAAATAAGGATCCGAAATGAATTTTTTCGACCCCAAAAACTTCCATATACACATAAAAAGATAATATAACGATTTTTTAAAAAAGGGGAGACTCGAAAATCGTGATATACCTATTTTTCCTTCACCAAAGTTGCTTAGAAAACTTTGCCCCCTAATATATATATATGAAGTGTACTACACTAGGATTCGGTTATAGTCCATTATAAGGCTTAAATGGAAATTCCGATATAGTCCTAATTCCCTTATAGTTCACAAAAATTGTGCAACTATAGTTGTGGACTATAAACGAAAACTACTGTATAAACTAATGAGTTGCTGATGCTATATTTTTCCATCGTCTGCATATTTGAGAATATAGCAGAAATAACTGTCAAACATTTCACAAAATTGTGTTGTAGTTTCCTGGTTCCCTATATATAGTATAGCTCAAATTGTATTATCGTACTTTTTATTCCAAATGTGTAAAATTGTTAATGTGTACAAAATTTTCCTGCTGGGTGGTTTTACATAAATAAAAAATGTCGTATCGAACCTGACACGAGTATTACGATATATTACGGCATTGTCTTCGGCCTACTTTGAAAATTTGCTGCGTAGAAGTCTTTCAAAATTCAAGAACCCGGAATGACAAAATGTTAATCAATTGAGCTAAAACCGAATATTAGGGTAACTTTATATGAGAGTTACCCCAATATTCGGTTACCGATATTTCAAAGTAAGATGAACACCCAAATATAAAATTACAGCCAATTTGCCCAAAAATACCGAGTATGTGGGGCTATACCAAAACGAGAACCGATATATCGCATTTGCAATACCAATATCCTAGAACTACTATTAATAGTTCCTTTCCAGAACCTAAAATAATCTAAAAATTTTACAAATTGTGCAACTTTTTATTAGAAACCCGTAATATTTTCATTTACTTGTTTTACTATTGAAAAGTATTGGAACAGAACAAATTTCTGTGCAAAATTTTAGAGCTCTATTTTACGTTTGGCTTAAATATTTGTAATTTGGCACAGAGAGTTCTCAGAGTGTACAAAATATCTTTCCTAAAATTTGTCGTCCATTTTGAATATTTGGGTATAAATAATTTTTCTGCAGAACAACTTGACGTAGGCTGCCAAAATTTGGAAAACATGTCAAATTATCTTCTGGTATGGAAAATGAGGTCTCTGGATCCATATAACTGTGCCTCCTCCCAATATGCGTATTATAACCTTAGCATTAATAATTGTATTTATTAAAAAAATGTTTATTTTTTGTTTCAGCTCCGTCCATTGTACCCTGTCATCGTGACAATCCGGATTTAAACAATTGCATAATTAAGGCAGTTGAAGATTTAAGACCTCTGCTGGCCACTGGAGAACTTGGTGAAGGATATCGGTCACCACCTTTGGAGCCACTATATTTGGATAATATTGAATTGGGACGTGGTCGTCAATTTGAGGCTGTGTTCAGTGAAATGGTGGTCAAGGGCGGAAGTAATTTTATTATTAATAAATTATCGTAAGCATAAATATTTTCACTCATTAATTCAACATTTATAAACATTTTGTCATTTTCATAACGCAGAGCTAATGCAACAAATTTGTCATTTGATTTGGTGCTGACACTGCCAAGATTGGATTTCACTGGAAAATATTTCATGAAATTAAATATTCTGCTCTTGGACATACAAGGAAGGGGTAATATGCGGGGCTATTGTGGTAAGTTGTTGGCTTTCAACTTTGTTTATTCGTAAACCATTAATAATATTTCTCTTTTGGTTTAGAAAATGCTAAGGCATTGGTAAAAATCCGCGGTGTTCGTGTTCCCATGCCCGATGGTTTGGAATATGTGCGCTTCACCCGCTTGCCATTGAAAATCAATATTGATGTGTTTAAACTACATTTGGATAATTTGTTTAATGGCGATCGTATTTTGGGTGATGTTGGCAATACGATAATTAACGATAATCAAGATTTATATTTGTCCGAGATAATACCCGGTCTGGAAAGGGGATTATCAAAGAAGTTCTTAGATATTGCCAATATGATGATGGCCAATACAACGTTTGATGAAATGTTCCCAATGTAGATAATATCTGTTTGTATGATATGTTTTTATTAGTATTTTAAGTTAGTTAGCATTGCAGTATTATTTAAATAAAAAGCAAAAACAAATTAAAATGTGTCACTATATTATTTGCACTGAATATTTTCAACCATAAGGTATTTTATTCTCTAAAAAATGGTCAAAATTCTGCAAATGGCATTATTCATAGCCGTGGACGGAGGTATCATAGTACTAAACATATATAAATTTGAAAGTTTTAAAATAAAATATTGTGAACGCTGACATACAAACGAATAGAGATAAATCATCGTAATCTATAATAAACAGAATTCATTGGGTTCCAACCAATAAAAATCGCTGTATCTTATCATTGAGAAAAATGTAGTATGCAGTCGATTTTTTCCTTGAAGATATGTTACATGACAATAAATAGGTTTTGTATATTTTTGTTTAAAAAATCACTCAAAAAGTATTTTCCCTCAATATGAAAGCTAACACATTGGTGGTGGTAGTGTGCCGGTCATTCACTACAACCAAGACGATATATAAGACTATTTCTTCAAGTCCTTTAGAATAACACACATTTTCCACCCCAATAAAAAAATCCTTAATATTTTGTTGTTATTATTTTGTAATTGTATCTTATTTTGTGTTGTTTTTATTTCAAGTTTTTATTCTATAAATTTTATATTAAATCTTAAATATAAATAGGACATGACATTAAGTCCATAACAAATCGCCAGCATCATCGCTGTTTTTAGAAAATATTTCTTTTTGTGCCAGTGTGTTAGAAGTTTTTGTTTGTTTCAAAATAGTATTAGAATTTATTTTTAATGTTGCAAAATAATTGAGTTATGCATTTTAAAAGAATGCCACATCTAATGTTGTTATTGGAGAGTGAAATTTAATAGGTCTGTGTGTGTGCTTAGCCAACCGTTTAATTTGTGTCAATGTAAAGTTTATAAATTAATAAACGAAGCATTGAAGAGGGGATCTTATAAGAATTATTAGTTGGGAATAAAGAAGATATAAATCTTTACGTTTATTTCCAAACACAATCAAGTCGTAGTCTACAAGCTTCAGTTGTTCATGATTGTAAAACTGTGGGATATATGTAGATTTTATAAAGCAGTTAGTTAGGCTAGTTTCAGGTCACCGCTATAAATAAGCGGGAAATGAAGTAGCTGAGGAGTTAGCTTGATGTGGATTGCAGATCCGTAAGATTTACGATAGATATCTTCCTACCAAAAATTATCAATATTGGTAACATTTAGAAATATTTTTCAAAGACCAACCAGGGGCCAAAACAATGCGTACATTTTTTAAAAAAATATTTTTTCAGGGGCCATAACATGGCGTAGACTTTAAGAATATTTTTATTAATAATATTTTTTCAATAGATTTTTTCGTAGATTTTTTAAGAATATTTTTTTCAAAGACTAACAAGTCGTAGATTTTTTAAAGAATATTTTTTCAAATACTAACAACGCGTAGTTTTGTTAAAGAATATTTTTTCAAAGAGTACCAAAGCGTAGATTTTTTAAAGAATATTTTTTCAAAGACTAACAAGGCGTATATTTGTTAAAGAATATTTCTTCAAAGAGTACCAAAGCGTAGATTTTTTAAAGAATATTTTTTCAAAGACTAACAAGGCGTAGATTTGTTAACGAATATTTTTTTCAAGGACTAACTAGGCGTAGATTTTATAAAGAATAATTTTTTCAAAGACTAATTAGGCGTAGATTTTATAAAGAGTATGTTTTTAATGAATATTTTTTTTTAAGACCAACAAAAATAATTTTTCAGAGGCTAGATCAAGTTGTAGATTTTGTAAAGAATATTCTTTCAGAGGCCAGAACAAGTCGTTGATTTAAAAAAATATTTTAAGTGGATCAATAAAAAATCTTAACATTAAAAAAAATTAAAGGGACCAATAATTATCCTGTATTAAAATTTTTTTAAAAGGGATCAATAAAAGGCCTTGATTTTTAAAACAAATATTTCTCAGGAGCCAAAACTGGACATGACCTTGGTTTTTTAAAAACATATTTTTAAGAGATCAATAAAAGCCTTTATTTATTAACAAATATATTTAAGGAGCCAATAAAAACCCTTGATTTCTAAAAAAAAATTTAAAGGGACCAATAAGAGGCATTGCTTTTTTAAAAAATATTTTAAAGAGAAAATGCCTTAATTTAAAACCAGTGGGCGGAGCAGTATAGTCGGACGGGGCCGGCCATATGATATCCTACACAACTACCACGAAAAACTAACTTTCTGTGATTTTATATTCTTAACTTGGGCAATATTTCGCGATATTTGAACCATCTTGACCAACTAGAGGCCAACAATTATTACTAATGTTCAGTACAGTCCTTCTGATTACTTGTCTAGATTCCCTTCCCTTGTGTTGTGATGGTCTAATTCTCATCGTGACCCATAGGTCGACCCGAAAAACACAAAAAATTAAGTTTTCGGTCCACTTAATCCCAATATTATTATCTGATCATCACCGAAAATTGTAGGCGTTATCATTGACCATAACTGGTCAACCACTCCTCTTCGGATATACTATCAACTATCGGGTCTATGTCATTCAGGTGTAAATATATACGTCATAGAATACAAAATTTAACACAAAAGTTAGGGTCCACTTGACCCGCTAAATATTGACCGATCTTCACGAAAACAGGCATGCTTATTCTTTGGCCGGATCCCCCTCTCCATGTAAAAACTCGTGATGTTTGGGTCATAATTGGGGCCTCTGGAGCGACCAGAAAATCAGACAAAAATAAAGTTTTTGGTCCATTTTATCCCCTAAATATTAACCGATCTTTACCAAAAACAATAGGGGTCTTCATTGAGCAGAACCCATCCTACATGCAAAATTTCGTGAAGATTGGTGACCAGTATCGTGTTTACAAATTATAATGGACAGACGGACGAACATGTCTAGATCGATTCAGCTAGTCGAGATATGACCAATATTTCGCGCTGTTGCAAACTCTTAGGGCTGCACAAAGCTATAATACCCTGACAACATAGTTGTGTGGGGTATAAAAAATATATTTTTTTAGAGGGACCAATAAAAAGCCTTGATTTTTGAAAAAATTATTTTTAAGGGACAAAAGGAATTGATTTTTAAAGGACCGATAAAAGGCCTTAATTTTAAAAAAAAATATTTCTATGGGACCGATAAAAGGCCATAATTTAAAAAAAAAAATTAAAGAAACCAATAGAAGAGCTTGATTTTTTTGAACGCATTTATAAGGGATCAAGAAAAATCCTTGGTTTTTAAAAAATATTTTTAAGGGACCTTGAAAAATATTTTTTAGGAAGTATGGACACTTTTTGCAACAGTGGTAGCTGTAATTTAGTACTTTGGATTGTAATTGGGTAGCATATCTTATTACCAAAATTTATCAATATTGGTCCCTTTTGCGAAGTTTGCTTACGTTTTCATTGTGGGATATCCTCTTATATAACGGTAACCCCATTATCCGGCATTTTAGGCATTATAAGAGCTTTTTTACCCAATTGGCTCTAATTGGGTGTCAAATCAGGATACTAAAAATTTACCATAACAAGGAATACAGGTATTTAAATGTCTAACTCATGTGGAGTGTATAAAAAGTTCGGCCGGTTGAAAGACGTTTTTACATGTTTTTTGGTTATTATTCTTTGGTTGCTGTATTATTGGAGTCATTATTAGTGACCGACCACTTCTAGGCTTACCTGTCAATGTTTTTTTATCTGAATATAGTTTATAAACACTGTCTGTTTTGAAACCGACGTCTAATCCCCCCATTCTCAGGGTCAAAATTTTTTTTGATTTAATTCGAATCTACACTAATTCAAGAATGTCCATACAAGATTTCAAGTGAAAATGTCAAGAACTCTTGAAAATATAGCCGATTTATTGTGTCAGCATCAAGTGACGGCTAAAGGGCTTCTCAAACTTTTGCGAATGGCGGGCACGATAACTCAAAAACTAATAACACAATCGATTCCAAATTTTCACACGTTTCTCTGTGAGTGTATAGCTATCGTATGAAATAAGATAAAGCCAATCGGTAAAGATCTTCCTTATTTTTTAACTTGGTTTTTGGTCAAAAATCGGCGATTTTCCAAAAATATTTTTTCAAAGGTCCGCCATTTTGTTAATTTTAGAGCGAAGTCAATAATCCTAGTTCATACGAGAGCCAGACATGTACTCTTTCTAACACCGTTGGAGGAGTTATCATGCCCGCCATCAAAAATAAGGACTTTTCTTTAATTACAAAAAACAACAACAAAATAATAACAAAATTTTTTTGTAAATTATTTTTCTTCTCTTTTAAATCTTCAAATATATATGTGCAAAGTTACAAACCTTAACAAGCATTGGTTTTGATTTACCAGCCAATTGAAAATCTTGAAAAATTAAAAACGAGAATGGGTGGGGTTCCCTAACTGGAATATCATCAAAGTTAATTGACATTTCTTTCTTATTATAATATATAATATTTTGAATGTAACATAGCATCTTTGAGTATATCCCGATAGCATTCTTGTTACAAAAATAATTTCGGCCAAAATTCCATTATATAGGCAGTATTTTCTATATGCCTCTTTAAGAAGATTTGTTTTCTGTTTTTTTTCATATCAAAATGACCATATTTCTCATCCATTCCATTTCATTCTATTGTGGGGTGAGTGTAGAGGTGGAAAAATTAAAAAGGAAGCCTTTTTTGCTGTTAAGAATGCCGACTTGCTTTGAATAATTAATAACTTTCAAATGAAAGACGGACGTGCGCAGGTAATTTCATTTCACTTTTTAAAGGAAAGTGAAAAAGCTCTCCACTCGATTCTCAAAGAATTTAAAAAAAAAACATTTCTGAAGGGCTTCTTATTGTCGGCTCTGTCTTTTGAAAAAACACCCCTTCACCAGGAGCGCTCATAAAATTTGCCTGTTGTTGCCACAACAACAACAGCAGCAGCATCAACTTTAGCGACATCAATGTCCACTGAAGACCAACATC